AATAAATAAATAAATAAATATCAAACAAACTTCACCCATTAAATGCCTGCCTCATGCCAAAGCTCTAGTGAGAACTCAAACAAAAGGACAGCAGTCCCACCGCTGTCCCACAGACATGGAAGGTGCCTAGCTTTCTTCTCCACATCTTATTTTCAAAATTAATTCATCAGAGTAGACACCACCATCTCTTTAAATGCAAAATAGGGTGATGTTACCATTCTGTCAAATATTCCCAATGTTCTTTGGATGAGGATAAAACAGTATATCACAGCATGAAACTTGAAATTATTTAATAGGTTTGAACTTTCACTAGCAAGTAGTAGTGAGACAGAAAAGGGCTGTATCAGCACTGGATATATATACATGTTTACCTTAAACTGCAGCATGTCATCCTTATGGTAGGTCACCTGCAGGCGGAGGGGGCTCACAGGGGTGGAGGGGAAGGCGCTGGTGTAAAGAGAAGACTTTAAGGAGATGTCAGCGCTGGCTCCATGTGAGGCATACTGAATGTTGCTGACAGAGTACAAGTCGTTGACAAAATAGCAGTAGGGGACCCCAGGAGAGCTGGATTCCTAAAAAGGAAATGTGATGTCCTAGTCAGCATGTGTTCCCTGAAAGACTTGAAAAAGGCAAATTACATGGAGATGAAGTCATATCATTTACTCACTTATATATCATTTGATAGTGCCAAAATTTTTACTTATTGGTTTCCAAACAAGATCCTTTCCGCATTCCTATCCTCACTGACTCTCACATCCAGATCCACCTTCTTGGGAACCCACTTCCTTATCCCTACTGTAAGGAGGAACACAGGTTCCCACACTGTGCCCGTGAGCCTGCGGGCAAGAGCAGAGCTTAGCGAGCACTAACTTGGCACCACACTCACCTCCCAGACACAGCCGCGGGCAGTGCAGAGTGCTACAGAAGAGCCACCCTCATCGGGGTAACAGTCTATTTTTTCTTCATCCTTTATGTTTGCGCTCCACTCCACTGTATATGCTTCTCCCAGGACAAGATTAATTTCTGAAATAATGGCAACCTAAAGGAATGGAGACATCACAGGGAAGTTCATGCTCAAAAAAAGCAGTCTCGCAAATCTCAAACACTTTAGGCCAACAAGTATACATAAGATGAGAGGCTCAATCCAAGTGCTGTGCAACTGCAGTTTCTGTGAAGAAAGTTTTATATATGATGGGTGACTACAGCGTGGTGACAGGGCAAATGTCACTACCCTCCAACCTTGCACATTGTAATGTGGAAAGCATTTGGTTGAATAAAACCTATTGTGATAACCACTTTTATTTCCTTCCCTAATTCCTCTTCCTCTTCAATGATATTGAAGAAAGGCTCTCTCTTCTGCTCTCCCAAATTATCTCATGTTCTTGTTTTTCCCAAACCAGTTCTCCTTATTAGTCAGCAGTGAGAGAAGAAGCTGTGTAAGGATCGTCTGACCTGGAGTTTTTTCTCTTTTTTCCTATGGGATTATAGACAGTTCCTTTCAAATGTTAATACTCTCTTTTTATCAACTTCCAAAGTAGTGAGTTCTATAAATCATAGCATTCCTTTACTTTTTTAACAGCCGAGGTTCTTCATTTCTCCAAGCCTAAGTACTCAAAATTTTAAATCCTTTCTGAATTGCAATCACCAACTCAATATTCACATTTTTTGTACATTAGTTTTACCTTGCACTTATATTTAAATAGCATTTTCCTCGCCTAACACTGCCATTTGTCTGAAGCAATAAGATTACATTTGAAAGATTATCATCCTTCTCCAGGTCTCTTCCTAAGCTAAATCATCTCCAACTTCACTGTCCTACTCATCCCCACCCTCCAGCCCCACTTCCAACAAACCTGGTATCAAGCATCACTAGGAGACATTTCAAGAATTAAATCAAGTATACCTTTCTCATTCTGGCACCCAGGTCCTCCAAAATCTGACCACAAATTTCCTTCTGGACAAAGAAATCTCCTTCCTAAACGAAACTACACTTGTTATAAAAGATTTGCAGACTGATGATGTAAGCCTATTCCAAGTCCTTAGACTGACTTACTCTGTTTCAACTTAGAATGCTTTACCAAATACCCATTCCTAGGAAAATGGGGCCCATTTCAGGACTGCACTACTCTTTGCTTCCCTCACATAAGACATTTTAAACTTTATAATCAATAGCTAAATTTTTAATCAAGGTAGCAAAGGTATGAGCATGAAAAGGTAAACTCAAGCTAACTGAGGTGCTAGGCAACATCTACATGAAGGCCCACTGCTTCAACCTTATCTTTTGCATCTGCTTTCATTTTTTGAAAAATGAACAGTTGAAACATCCAGCTACTTCTAATCTAGAGACAGAAAGAAATCAATGCTGATCACCTTGAGCCTGTGAATCAACACCAGCATCTCTCTATCTTCTATGCTTCTTAAAAGGAAAGAAAAAAATTCCTATTTGGGAAGTTCTCTCCCTTGAAGCTGATGAATTCCTGTATGATACATTTTCTTTCAAAGCCTAGCTCTAGGTTTGCCTTCTCCAAGAAACTTCAAATATTCCACTAAGCTTTTAATATCAAATAATATGTAATGGAATATATCCTAAATGTTAGTCTGGTTCCCTGCATTTATTTATTTATTTACTTATTTATTTAAAGAGAATACAAATTAGTAATAAAAATAAAAAATTATAAATGATACAGAATTTCCCTAAATAAAATAATATGAATTTGGCAGTATTTGTTGTATTGCAGTGCTGTCTTCCAATTAGTTTTTCAAATTACCAGATATATGCATGCAAAATTGGGAAAAGAAAGAGAAAAAGAAAAAAAGTTATAAAAAATTAAGAAAGAAAAAGGAAAAAGATAAAAAGAAGACTGAGCATTAGCTGTTCCTTTCCATAGACCGCAGAAATCCACAGTACAATTATCCAAACCATCCTGTTTACATTCATAGGTATTCTTTCCCATTTGTGTGCATAGACTGTATCTCCTTCAAACCCACATTAGAACAATGAGAGAGTTTATGCTAATTAATTTATTTGGCAGGGATTGAGTTTGTTTTCACATATGCTTTTTTAAAATGGTCTGCTCTTGACAACATATATTTAAAAATACGTGATGTATTCCTAGCATTATAATAGATGCATTCTCAATATGTCTTTTCAGAAAAAGTATAAAATGTCATCAACCTCCCATCATAATAAAAGCATAAATTGCCTTAATTTCCAGGAATTTCTAAAATCTCTCAAACAGAAGCTCCAATGGCAGGAATCCCTGTAGTACTTTTGACCAGGATTACTAGGAGTAAAGATTTCTTTTTTCTTTTTTTAATTTTTATAATTTTTAAAATATTACTCTGTTGAGTGAAATTCTGTATCCTTTTTAATTTTTGTTTTAATTCTAATTTGTACTCTTTAAAAAAATAAAAAGTAAGATTTCTTATAATGTTAAGGAATTAAAGGAACTGATTATAACCTGTTCAAGAGAGTCAGATCTCATTAAAACAAATTAAGTTTTTCTATCATGATCTAATCAAATAAGAATTCATTTAATAGGATCAAATACTATTTGTCTTAATATATTTAATCAGAATGTATGTTGGACTGAGTCTTAAAATATAGGCCAAAAAATAAAAATGCCCAGGCCCTGCAAAATTTTAATCCAGGGACTCCTACAGCAAGCCTTACTTCAGCGCCAGCCCTAAGTTTCCAGATGTCTTTTCCTCTATCATGTCCCCCACTTCCTCACTGGTCTATGCAGCATCTATTTCTCTAAAGATAAAGTTAGTAAAGAGGGCAGAACACTGAGGTTCAGAAAGAGCAGTGAGGATGAAGGACCACCCCTTGGCAGCTCCACAGCTCGCTCTGGGTCCGGCTATCTGTCTCTGCACTCTCACGTCCTGACCCTCACACTGACTTCCTCCCTCAGAGCTCACCATGTTCCCTGACCCTTAGGGAACCCATGCAATCTTGGTGTGAAAAAACACCAGGACACCATAGAGGATACGGAAATAACTATCTCAACAAAATGCACTTTTACCTTCAGATTAGGATCATAAGTGACTTTAGGAGAAGCCTGAGTCAGGACACCATTGCGTCTCACTACAACATTGGCAGGTTCCTGTGTCCCAAGAATCTTAATCTGCTGAAAAGCTAAGTTATTGGGATCCTTGTAGTTTGAGTGAGAAATATTCACATCCAAGCGGTTCTGCAAAAACAATTAAGCACAGGGAAGCACAAAGGTTTGCCTGAAAGGCACACATTCTCATGTACAGTCATACAAATGCTACACCAGGACCAGATACTTCCCCTGCTCTGAGTGCTACAGATTTGGCTACTAATGCATGCTCAAGGAGCATAATCTTATCTGAATCGAACTATGCATGAGAAAAACATCAGCAATATGCAGACACACAATTGGGAAAATTATATTTACAAAGACTAGCTGCTTTGACTTGTCAATATTAGTGCCTCCCTTGATTACACACATAATGTAACTCCTACATGTTAAATCACAAAAGGAAATGTGTTCAACTAAAACCATTAATCCCAATGAGATTAAATACATAATCACACACATCCTCAAGCACACATGTACTAACAGTAAGAGGAAAACCCACTGTTAAGATTCATAGAATTGCAATACTCACTTGGGTGGCAGAAAACTCACATAAAATGTAATAATTATTGGCCACGGTATCTGAAAGTAGAAAAACAGAAACTGAGACTTCTGTTCACCACAGCACAAATCTCACCTGCTGGTCCTTAAAGCTGAAGCCTCACCAATGGCAGGAGGTCCTTCCTTTTAAATGATGACTGACATTCTACTGTATGTCTACTATGAGTTCTTGACTTATTCATCATTGAGTGGAAACACGCACTGCTCTGGATCTTGGCTACTATGAATAACACTGCAGTGAACATGGGAATGTACACATCTGTCTGACACACTGGCTGCATTTTTGGCTACACTAGGAATGAGCTTTCTGGACCATGTAGTTCTGTTTTTAATATTTTAAGAAATTTCTACAATGTTTTACATAATGGCTGGTTTGATTCATATTTCCACCAGTGCTTGTCAGAGCTTGTCCCACTTCTCCATACTCTTGGCCACACTGCAATGTCTTACCCTTTCCATAGCAATCATCCTAACAGCTCTGAGGCTCTATTCATTGCCATGTTGGATCTGTATTTCACTGCTGCTTAGCAATGATTAGCTCATTTGCATATACCTGTCAGCCAGCTGGAAGCCTTCTTTAGAAAAATATCACTCACATGCTTTCCCATAAGTTACAATTTTATGTTTTTGCAACTGAGTTTTAAGTGTTCACAACATTGTTTATATTAACCACTTTATTAAGTATGTGATTTGAACATGTTTTCTCTAATTCTGTACATATTCTTTTGATTTTAATGTTTCTTTTTCTTTTTTTTTACTATGCAGAAGGTTTGAATTTTGATGTAATAACGTTTCTTTTTTATAATCTTTTATTTATTTATTTATTTATTTAGTATAGGGTCTCACTATGCAGCTTGGACTCATAGTGATTCTCCAGTCTCAGCCTCCCCAGTGCTGGGATTACAGGCACGCATGAGCATGCCTGGTTTCAGCAGCCAGCATGGCATGCCTGGGGTTCTGGAGCTGGTGCAGCCTGCAGTACTGGGGATCAAACCCAGGTCCTTGTGCTTGCTAAACAGGTGCTCAGACTGCTAAGCTATTTCCCCAGCTCACATGGAGTAACATACCTTTTCTTTTTTGCTTTTGTTGCCTCTACTGTGCAGGCCACAGACTAGAAAGCACTAAAAAGACCAATGTCCAAGGAAATCTACACGCCTGTGGAGTTTACAGTTCCCACCCTTACACTGAAGTTTTTAATCCATTTTTACAGTAAGATGTGGAAACACCCAAAGCATACATCAGCGAAGAGAAAAACAGGCCCATGCACAGAGCAGAGCATGACTCAGCCACACAAACAGGCAAAGCCCGCCAATTATGGCAGTGCAGACGAAGGGGGAGCACATGCTGCTACGGGAAATAAGGCAAGAAAAATGAACACTGTGCGATTTCACTTATGTATTTACTCTTTTAAAAAATTGACCTAATGCAAGCAGATGAAAGAACAGTGGTTGCAACAAACAGAAGACTAAAAATATTAGGGGACAAATGTAGAAATTTCAAATATATAAAGTACAATTCTGGAAATAAATGCACAGCATTAGTGTTGGCAGGTGCGTTAAATAATTAGATTGTGGCACTCATTATACAAAATATGTGTATATACTGTATATCTTAAATATCACCAAACTTTATTGATTATACATTGATATTTAAAAATAAGTAAATTCTTAAAAGTCCTACAGGTTACAACTCTATAAACAAAGCCTCCAAGACTCAAAACCTACTTTTCCTTCTCTTTTACTGAACCTCTGAAAACATTCCCTTACCAGTGCTTGCAAGACATATGCCTCATGGGAATCTATTTCTTAAAGACAATAAAAATTGTTGATATATCAGGTCCAGAACAATATGCCCAAATCAGGCCTGGAGGCACCTGCCCTGGTAATCTGTATTCTTACAGCCTACCTGAGATAACATTTTTTCCTACTTCAACATTGGTCCCTAAGGATTTTTAGGCAAATTACATCACAAGTGAAATACAGAACCAGTCTTATCATTCAGGTGCCTGCTAATAATAAGTGAAGGTCCATTATTAATCACTGGCCTATGGGAGAAATCTGAGAGATAGAAATGTGCTTTCTCTACCTTTGTAGCATATCTGTTACTAGCCCTGAATACAAAAACCAAGGCGAGCTCTTCACTTAGCTGACTAGTGCTTCTGGGAGTAGAGAGATTTCTCCTGCTCCCTACTGGGGATCAGGAACAAAGCACAATACATCACAGACTAATATTTGAGTACAGCAATATCCTTGATGCCATACTCACCGGCGGATTCACCGTCATCCCAGAAGAGCTCTCCTCTCGCTTCTCTGTTCTCATCCAGGGCAACGAGGAGACCAAGAGGACGCTTCCGGCTGCGAGAAGGAAGACACATGCAAGAGACAGAGACTTAGCGCTCCAGTGACTCTGCCCGTGTGTCCAGTAATTGCAAACGGGAAAATTCACTAGCTTCAGGGCACTCTGCTTTCTGTGGGTGGTAAGAGGAAGCTGGCACAGGCTGCCTTTTCAGTAATGTCACAAAGGACAGAAATGCCCCAAACACCCCACTAAGCATCCACGTAGAAGCCAATGATAGAAGCACTGAAAGCACTGCAATCACCACATTAAAACTGCAGCTGCAACTATTATGTATGATACAGGCAATTGAGAGATAAAGAAGTAGTAGACACTGACAGGGTAGCCTGGTCACTTCAGCGATGATCCCCACATCAGGAGTGCCAGCTGCTGTCAGGCAGAGCCACTTGTCCTGCCTGAGGCCATGTTTACTCAGAAAAAAAACCCCAGTAAGGCCTATCTATACAATGGCAATGTCCTGATTTGAGTACACATTATTAACTTGATTTAAGACAAAACAAAACATTAAAATTACTTGCTTTAAAATTTAAAATGGGGAACATAAAACAGTACTCAGAAAGATAATGAGATGGGTGTAGGAAGAGGGATAAAGAAATCTGTTTCATTGAGGACCTGCTCATTTGGAGACAGCTCTGCACTACCTCCCCTCCTCCTCCTGCTGTGCCTCTCTCTGGTTCAAGTTTCCTACTGGAGTCTCTCACAGCTCAAACTTCTCTATGCAAGTAACATCAAGTCAACAATAAAACTGTCTGCCCTCGTTTATATTTCGTATCTTGAGCTGTCATTGCTAAAAAGTCCAGAAGATAAAAAGATGACAAAAACTGCAACTCTTGATTTCTTTAACCTTCATTTTTTAAAGAAAGATTAAACACATTTACCAAACAATCAAAGCAGAATAAAAGCGATATAAGATTCTATAGGAGTCTTGGCTGACACTTCCAGAAATACAGTGGACTGTACACTCTGGAGGATGCATCCCTTGCTATATTACTTGATCCTAGATAAATTCCAACATATTTCTTTTAAAAATTGTTGGCCTTTTAAGTAAATGAAGGACATATCCAAGAGCCCACACTAACAACAGACAAGCAAAATGCTGGTCTCAGACCACAAGAAAGCACAGGAAGCAAAACCCAGAATTTCCTGGGGACAAATGCCTGAGAAGGCTAACTCTGGGCCACTACTCCTGATAATCCAAGATAGAGAACCTGAACCTCCAATGCCCATGTGGAGCCAGGCTCAGTGAGGAAGCTCATGTGACACTGAGCTGGCAGTCGTCCCACTGGTTTGCAACCAAGGAGAAGGCAAATCACTTCTGGAGGAAGGAGGCCCAGCTCTGGGTCCTTATCATCACTACATTTGAAAAGCAAAGTATCACTAAACAGACAAGCAACAAGTCACCATGAAAGGCAGTCAAAATAACCAACTGCAGATTTATATTCTCATAATGACTCCAGAGAGTAGAATTTTCAAAATAGAGCATGACATAACCATGGCTGAAATGACACAGGGGCAGAGGGACTTAACACATTAAGTACAGGGTCTGAGAAGAGCAGAAGCCCTAACAGACACTGTTGGAATGCAGCTGTGGCAATCAAGTTTCCTGAGGAGGGAAAAGTGGCACTTTAAAGATTGCACTATCTCACAAGAAAAAAAAAAAATGGAGAGCTTTGAATCATCCCTAAGCAATAGCATGGGGACACAGAGACCCTGAACCTGAAGACACCTTTGCTTCATTCTCATGGTAAAGTATACCTGCTTAGGTGGAGACTTAAGATGTTAGTGGCACCTGCCACGCACAACAAGCATGAGCAGCCACCTCCCTGGCTCTGCTCTCTCCCCTCCATTGAATGTGCTAACAGAGAAAAAAGGCTGACGCCAATGCAGAAGGAGCAGAGCAGAAGGACACTCCAACATTTCTCTTGAAGGAAGCTGCAACAACTTTGGTCCCAACTATTTTAAGAGACTTCTCTTGTACTTGAGTATAAGAATAAATCTTTTCCTATTGGATTTAAGTTATCTCCAACTAATTCTTCTAGATAAGGTCGCAAGGACTCACAGGGAAATGTACCAGATGAAACTCCTTTAATAACAGAAACATAGTTTTAAATGACCAGAACATTTGAAGTGGCAGAACTCCCTCTTCTGAAGAAAATCAGAATGTTTAATGCAGAGGAAATCTGAGCTTCACTTGCATCAAGGGTGCACAAAGCTGACTTGTGCATCGGGGTAAGGGGCTTTCTGAGAATGCTGAGGACAATATATGCAGAGACACAAACAGCAAAATCAGTGGGTTGGTTGGGAGACCAGCATGATGTAGCACGGCTGATCGATATGCAGATTAGGGCCAGCCAAACAGCTCAGCAGATTAAATTGCCTCGTTAGGCAGATGACCCCCAGCTTGCTGGGCCAGCCCCTCCCCCAGGGCACGCTGAGGCAGCAATTGAGACTGGGCGTGGTGGCACATGCCTGTAACCCCAGCTCTTGGGAGGCTGAATACAGGCAGATCACTATGAGTCCGATCAACATAGTGAGACCCTGCAGACCTTGTACTAAAATATAAATAAATAAATGCAGATTGAGGCAGTAAAGGACACACAGTTGCTAAGGTCAACTTGGATCCTAATTTGGTTGATCTTGAGCAGCCCAGGAGTAAAGAAGTCCACACAGCAGGCAGGAGAGCAATAGCGAAGATTTTCATTTTGCTAGAATAATTTTTGTTTCAGTAGGAAAAAACATTCTAAATTGAACAATTAGAGAAAGAGAAACCAACTGGATTTGGATTTAGGCATAATTGCATAAAACTCTATCATTTGAGAACTTAAGGTGATAAAGGAAGCTCAAAAGATTATTAAATTTCCAAAACCTTTCAGTGTGTGAAATACAAAGGAACTATAGTTTCAATCACAAATATTTAAATGTGCAAATCTTTTAGTACAGACTGAATGTAAACTCCTAGAATCAAAAAAGGGCAAACAAAACATCAGGAACATGGAGTAGCTTGAGGCTTGCCAAAGGAGGAGAATTTATGAACCCGGTTTTGACTCACAAAAAGAAATATATTAGTGTGAGAAAGGGAATGTGATGTGAGACGCTGGAAGGACAGACGGCAGCTCTGACTCTCTCGGAATGAGAAGAAGTGAGGGCTTTCGAAGACATGAACCTTTTGGTGCTAACATGGCAACAGCTCTGGGACAACAGAGAGGACTTGCTAACTTGGGCTGTCAGTGGGCCTTTGTTCAAAGGAAAAAGACAGAGTACTAAATTTAGATCTTTTTAAAATTTGTTTTAAAAAAAAAATAGGATGGACTTTAGATGAAGATGAAAGGCTGTCAAGACTGACTTTGGTGTAGTTCTAGATTGATAGATTCTTCAAAGGAGACAAGGGATATGCAGAAAAGAATGTGAGGACACCCCAAGCAAGCATACACATGCATGCCTCCCAGCGGCCTTCATGGGGCTTGTGTGGAATTTGACATCAGTCTTCAACAGAGACTAGAAAAAAAAAAAAAAAAAACACCATTGAAAAGGTGAGGGGCTGGAGAGATGGCTCAGTGGTCTAAAGCACCTACTTGGAACAAGCTTGGCAAAGTACAGGGACCACGGTTCGATCCCCCAGCACCACATGCCAGCCAGCTGCGCCCCCTGGTGGGCTGAGCTGGCCACACACACACACACACACACACACACTAAATAAATGTTAAAAAAAATTTAAAAAAAAAAAAAGAAGGTGAAAAAGAAAACAAATTTTAAAAAGACAAAAATAAAGTTTTTAGAATATTGAATTGGACTTGATGTTTAAGAGATTGGTGGCATTGATTATGAACTACGGAGCAAACCAACATGCAAAGCAGAGCCCCGGCCCACCATTCACCTTAGGTGAGTGTTCTGCGCAGGCTCCTGCCAGGGAAGGATGTAGCCCCCACGCACGTGAAGGTTAATGTGCTCCAGAGGGGCTGGCAGCTCCTTCCACTGTCCCCTCGCATTAATGTCTGCACCCTGTGGGCAGAAGAACAGCAGAGGATAAGGGCAGGACACTTGCCCCCTCATCAGTGCATGTGGCAGACATCTTGTCTACCTCTCTGAGCTGCCTGTTCATCAGCACCCAGCACACCCCTGCTAGGACACTTCCTGCATTCACTCTGTTGTTGTGAACATCTGCTTTAATTCTGCAAAGCCTTGGGAGAGAACCATGCCTTTTGGGACTTTCTCTAGTACAAATTCCATATGTTCTTAGAACAAAGCAGACTGCTAGAGGAGGCCAGAAAAATTAAATCTTAATTAATTTAATCTTAATTAAATTACTTGCACTTAGAAAAAACTCTCCATCATACCATCTCTAGACCATTCCTTTCACCAAGATCTACTGAATCTCCATCACCACTCACTGTCCCACTCTCACCCTAACTGCCTTGGACCTCTGACTTCTGTCTCACAGAAAAGATATGCATATGTTGACTTTATACAATCTTATATTTAACTTCATTCATCTGCTTCATGTTTGTTAACCTTCTCTTGTCTGATGTATGAGAAGTCCTCTCTATCCTAATCATAAATCACAATTCCTAAAGCACCATCCTTTCACATTTCCCCAAATATAGCAGAGTTTCTCTGTGTCAACACTTGAAATGTAGGAATAGAAACTCTTTGTCTTGAGTTTTTAAATTTTTTTATGTATTTGGTACAGGGTCTCACTACACAGCTCAGACTCATAGTGATCCTCCTGTCTCAGCCTTCCCAGCACTGGGGTTATAGGCATGTGCCACCATCCAAGGTCTTGGTGGCCTGGTTGGCACACCTGGGGTGGGGTCGTTGTGTCATGTGGTTCCAGGGATTGAACACTGGTCCCTGCCCTTGCCTAAGCAGGCACTTAGACTATCTCCTTGGCCCCTTTCTGTAATTTTTGATGTTTAGTAGCATCTTCTGTGTTCATATACCAGATGCCAGCACTCCCACCTCAACAGAACACCAAAATTAGCTCCACACATTGCCAAATGTCCCCAGGACCAAAGCTAAGCTCATTTAAAGGAAGTAGGTTTGTCTCTTCACAGACAGCTCAGCTGGAAAGCATATGGCACTCATAACCTGTTATCAGCCTATGGACAGACTCAGCCTAGCAACAAAGGAATCAGGAACAAACCTAGCCAGAACTCCACAGGACAGTGGAGAGGAGAAACCCACTAGCATACTTTTCTGCAGTACCCACCCAAGCCCACCATAGCAGCTTGCATCATGGGGACACAAGACACTGTTCCTGTCTTGCTGATGAATTTTAAGTCCTCTACCATTCACTACTCAGAAAGTCAGAAGAGGAGGACAGGCTAGAGGTAAGCACATCCCATCCTCCCTTGCCCAAGGATCACACTCTGACACATCTGTGTGCCACCAGTGACCTTTCCGAAGCTGCATCTGAGGACCCCGTTATCCAGGTGCTCTGTGGGGCTCAGACTGGATCAGAATGGCACCCTTCTGTGGGGTCCTCATGGGTAAGTGCATGTGCACTGGTTAGACTTGCAAAGGCTATTGCCCACAGAGCTGGGCACTTTCTCTACATTGCTTCAAGGAGTCCAATGTTAGATCACTATTGAGAACAATGCTTCTTTGAATGTCTATGTTATAGAAAAAAACTATTTAAAGGGCTGGGAAGATAGCTCAGTAGAATAAGGGCTTGCCTGAAAAACACAAGGACCTGAGTTCAATCCCTAGTACCACAATAAAAAAAAGTAATAAAAAAAGAGGAAATTTTCTGTGTACTTGAGAACTTAGAGGAGAAGAAAAAATAAAAACTACAGTTAATACAACAGTTTTATGAGTTTACTAGTTGGTGATTAGGCACCAGTGTGAATGGTGATGTTATAAGAAATATAGAAACTCCCACACACAGAACACTCAAGACAACCCAGGCCCTCAGTGAGAAATTTTGCTTACTTCATAACACTTCTATAAATGGGTGGTCATATTTCATTTATAGGTAAGTAAACTGAGGTTATAAGGTTTAAAGTGATTTGTGCCAGACCATAGGAGGTCAACCTAGAGCCAGTGTTTGGGCTGAGGAGTGTTGATCTGAAGCTTTTGTTTTTTACCATTTCCCAAGTGTGTAAGGAGTAAGGAAACTTACTGTGTAGTAATCATACCATCGGGCAGCAGGGAAATACGTGGTAACATTTCTGGCATTCTGTAATTAGACACAAAGAAGTTGAGGACAGTGTTGTTTCAGGTCACAGGAATTACTCTGAACATAAAGAGTTTAAAACAACTCTGGTTTCCAGAGATCCACCTCTTTGACCTCTCAGGAAATTACAAACCTGAGGAAGCACGACCTAACTTTCCCCTTTTCAAACAGAGAAAATATGCTTACAAAACCAAAGCTATTTGGGATCCACAATTTCAGAAGACAATATTAGCAGCCTTTCACCCTTAACCCAAACCCTCACTAAACACAGAAACCCCTGAGGTTGAGTCTGGAGTGGAACAACTTGTACATACGACAGGGATGTCATTAGATGACTTTATAAGCAAATGTAAGAGATACAGACAGAAGAAATGAACTGGCTGCTGTGGGTGGCTATGAATGGAGGGAGGACTCACCAGTAGCTCCAGAAGAGCACACAAGACTGTGGGTAGCTCAGGTGGAGAGTGTGGGATCAATGGTGACACTATATTATAATGAATCCATATACGCGCTTACCCACCTGTTTCTGAACTTAATATTTTACTTAATGGAGAAGTGCTATCTTCTAAAATGGGTCATGAGGCTACTCAGGGAGGTATTTGCTTGTTTGTTTTTCTTATTGTCCTGATTAGGATTGTGAAGCTGACTTTAAAGAAGGGGTGGTGATACTAGAACACTTAGGCCACAGACTTTTCCTCAGGAGATGAAGGGATAAAGGTACAGTAAGAAACCATGACTCAGGATACTTCCTGCATCAGGCTGCTTATCCTTCAGCCTTATACCAGGATCCTCCACCCACCAGCATGGCTCTCCATACTCACAAGCTCCAGGACAGGGCTGACCAGCAAGGCAGGGCCCAGCAGGAACTGACCGTCCACATCCCAGGTTACCCGGTCTGACACAAACCTGGAAGGAAAACCAGTTGGTCACCATCAGAGCCAAGGCCTGAGGAAATACCTCCTGCTCAATTTGGAGTGAAAAGCTGAGCCGCATCCACTGCCATCCTAGGCTCCTAGTGGCACCAAGGACAAGGAGTTTCACTCTCCACAGATCCATGTCCTCTAAATGAAGAAATGTATAACTCCATCATGGCTTACGCTGAATACCAGGTTGGCCTTCATCCCTTATAGCTCCCCCTAGGTATCTTCTTTGCTTAACTGAACTCATTCAGGCCCAGGCCCAAGGAACCAGTTGGTACTAAATGGAGGGCAATGTTTCATTGACAAATTACAAAGAAATTGTGCTGTGCAGTGTTCTGTTCTTTAAGAAACGTTTTAACTTGACAAATACTTTTTCTGGAAAGATCTATAAAAAGTACAAGCCATCATCTTTGCCTAATGATGTCTAGTTTGCAGAAAGTGTCTGTACTCACTACTTCTTACACAATGGAAAGACTCATACATTTGTGAGCAGGGTCCCCCTGGACACTCACTCATGGAGAAGAGGCCTCACGACAGTGACGCCCTCTGTGTGGGCCCTGTGCATCAAGGTATAGAAGTAGGGCAGCAGCATGTATCTGGTCTCCAGCACACTTTTGGAAATATTCACAAAGGCAGCATCCCAGGACACAGGGTCTTGTCTCTAAAGGAGGAAGAGAAGTGTTCAGAGCCTATCTAGTGAGTGGGAGAAAGTTCAAGAGGTCACTGCAAGTTTATTCCAAATGAATTACACACCACTAAACTAATAATGATCATGCATGAGACTCCCAGAATATTTGTAATAGACTAGAAGGAGTTACTGAAGCTGTACAAAAAAAAAAAAAAAAAACTTACATAATTTCCCCATAAGATATTCCTCTTAGGATATATTTAGGATAGTTCTTATTAAACACAAAGAATTATCTAAATAAACTTGAGGAATATGATCAATGGAAATGAAAGTTTCATAATTCTGAAGATGTTACCAGACAATACAGAGACAATTAACTTTGCTCAAAGACAGAGGCTGCATTTCAAGTAACATCCACCATGTGAGGAGGGATCACTGTCCTACCCTGGTGCCAATGGTGTTGTGGTTCCTGGAGAAGGGATAAAAGGCCCCCAGCTGCATCCAGCGAGCACACATCTCATACTCAGCGTCTTGAAAGAACCCACAGATGTCTGCCCCGGTCTGAAACAAGAGGGAATAAACCAGGCAGCTGGCGACTTCGGAAAGACTCCATCACCTTGTGAGCAGGCAGGAGGGGTCTGAGGCCACTTACATAGGATATGCCAAAGAGGCTGAACTCCATCATGCCTGCAATGAGAACCGCATCTGGGTCAGGGAGGCCCTGCTCACTCCTCCTCCTCCTCACCAAGGACCACACCTCCCTCCCTGTCATCCAGCCCTGGGAACAGGCCCCTGTACCAATGATTGACTTCTTCAGTTGGTCCCATGCAGCTGTGTTGTCCCCCAGCCAGTGTCCTGCCCAGCGTCCAGAAGAGGGGAATGTGGAACGAGTGATGACGATTCCTCTCTGGCCTGTCACCTCCTGCACTGCTCTGGTTGCAGAAGAACAGGGAGGAGAAATGATGCCAAAGTAAAGGAAGAAAGGCCACAAGGCCACCTGTAAATTCCCTGTGCCTGGGGCATGGTAACAAAGTGTTTGCTACATCTTTGCTCAGAGTATGACAACCTAGAACTTAGGCAGAGCTGTGCAGCCTAAAGGAGGTGATCATGGCAGAGCTGTTTTTCAATGCTTTACAAGGAGCTCACATCTCATACTCTAGGGGTAAAGCCACAGGGAAATCCTGAAATTGCAAGCACACAGTAAACCTACTCATTTCTTCATGATTTGGTTTTATATCCTTGAGGTGGAGAGGGAAGCTCCTTTTTATGATTTTACTCAGGATGATATGTACTATTCATTGACTACATGAATTAGAAAATGCTAATTCAACAGAAGACTCATGGACTATTCAAAAAGAAGGGGAGAGAAATAATAATAGAGATGTCTCCTTGAGATAACACAGAGGAACTTACCAGCCATATTACGTTTGAAGCTCATAATTAAACTCTATCTGGCCATTAGAATGATAAGTGAAAGGAAAAGGAGAAAACCCACACCCATCTCTGGCTGACTGTCCAGACTGTATCAACTAGAGAAGGTAGAAAGAAACTCACTCGTAGGTGGGCCGGGTCTGGGACCACCCGTACAGGCTGTGCACGTCATAGTGACGCACTCTGGAGCCGTCTGGGAGGATCTGCTCACTCTCCATGCACAGGGTCTTGCTGCTCAGGCCCCTGTCCCTGGCCTCCAGGTCTGAAAGGAAAGATTCAAAAATGTGAAAACCAGTGCTTCTGTTTAAGAGACTAAACTCTGGATCTATACACTAACTGGAATTCAGCATGGTCACCTTCCTGATTCCCAGGAATAAGACAATGGTTGGGTCTTTGCTATAATGGCTTCCTTCAGAGTTTTCACCATCAAGTTTGTTAGAGAAAGCATAAGTTTTGGTGAAAACTCAGGGTTCCAAAAACACTACATAATTGGAGATGATATAATCTATTCTAATATAAAATATTTCAAATACTTCTATGAGGAAGATAAGGTTACCAGGTTCCTATAGTATAGAAAGCCCAAATTTTTATTTTAAGAGAAAAAAACAACAAATCCAGTTCAATCCCTGGCACCACCTGCTGCACTAGCCCACCCCCAGGGTTGGGCTGATCTGGCCACCAAAAAAAAAAAAAAAAAAAAGATGTAGAATTTCAAAACAAGACAACAAGAAGTTAACAATGGTTATTATATTGCATATCGTTATCTTCAAACTAGTTGCTCAGATTACCAAATATAGGTAAGCAAAATTGATCAAACTATATGAGCACACACTGTTCCTTTCAATGAATTAATAGAAATTAGTAGTATAACTACCTTATATACCATGTATGTGTGTATCTATATATACATATATATGTGAATATATATGTATTTTTTTTTGCTTTTCCCTTCCTTCTTTTCTCCCTTCCTCCATCCCAGTTGTTCATTCCTTCTGAGCAACTTATTTTCCTTTCACAATATCCATTATACATTTTGCATCTTATTTACTCTTTCCATTTCTGAGCTTTACATAATCTGTGAAAAGTCACAAAATTTGTACTAATGATTTTTGAAAACCACAAAAATTTGTATAATTTCTAAAGATTAAGATATCAGCACAACTTCAAAGTCAATGGAGTCCATGGCCTGAAATAGAAGAGGATGCCACTAATTTATGCTAATTGGTGGCAAAAGAAATCACTGAAGTTATATTAACACTAAAAACAAATAAACCAGCATGAATTAGTCTGTCTCACAGATGAGTGACAAGGAGTGTTTCTTGAAAGTGGAAAGCACTGAGCTCCTCAGAGTGCCATTCACAGGACACAGAGAGCACCACAGCAACTATAAAATCTATGTGTAAGACTTCCTTGGAGACATTACTGTGGTTAAATGTTTTCTCGGCAAATTTACTTAAAATCTGAGACGATAGTACTTAAGAAAAACAGCCTAGCTGCATTTAGTCTTTGTCCCCTTCTCTCTGAAAGGGACTGACCTCACATCCCACAACATGCTGATGTCTTTGTTCAAGGCCTCTCTCACGCCCACTGCAGGACGAGATGGGCCATCTTCCTAACGCTGCACAGAGCAAATGTGGCTGAACACATAGCTTAGAAAGCATTCAGGTTCTACGGGCCTCGCAAAGGCAACCACTGTGGGATTGGCTTGTCCAGGTCTCTAACACCAACCCCAGCACCCAGAGAGCAGTAAGTGCTTGGCTTTTATGTGCTCAGTGTGCCAGAAGCCAAAAGGGCTCAAAGCACTACCATGTAGGTCAACAGCAAAGTCCTTCAAGCAAGGAAAACCAGTACATAAATAGCTCTCACAAAATAGCCTAGGTATCTTGAAGATATCGCATTACAATATTAAATATAATAGTCTTACTGATTAATCAAAACTAGGCATTGTGAACACCAGGAAAAACACAAAGAAAATAAAAGAATCTGTAATCCTATCATGGGGGGGGAGTGACTTGATTTCTCATGAGTGATTCCTGCACTTCTCAGAGGCACAACAGTGTTTAGCTCTGAGTTGCAGTGGTGCCTGCATCCAAGTGTTCAACATCAACCCCAATGGTCTAGTAACTTGCACACACCCTGTTGAGTAAAGTGCTTAAAATGATTTTTGTCTCTGGGTCCCAGTAAACTGCCACACCAATCAGGGCATGTCCTGAGTGGTCAGAGTAAACATCTAGATGTGGGCCCTTCCAGGGGTGATCCTACTCCTGTTCAGGGTCCTTACGCGGCATGTAGGGAGGATGATTCAGAGAACTATCCCTGCAGCCCGAAGGGACAGCTCCATTCACAAAACTCGATGGTTCATTCATATCCTACAAAATAAGCAGACATAGCTCAGTCTTTTTTAAAGATAATTATGTCCATTCAGAGACAAGGAAATAGTGAATAAATTATTTAAAATTCAGGAATCCCTATAGAAGCTTGCCCAGTAAGGCTCACCAAATCCTGGTGAGAACTGCTTGAAAATTTAGTCCCTACATAGTCACTGGCCAGAGGGTCAAAAAAAATTCTCCCATAGGGTAAGCACAGTTGCAAAGATTTCCTAATAATGGCCCAATAAGACTTAAAGCAGAAACTTTGAGCAAGGTTCAAGGTATGAGAGCATCAGGGCTTTTCCACTCCTGACTGATCAAGTGTTTGTGATACATCCAAAGCATTTCTTGACTGTTATTGTCACTTAGAGGCCAGTGATCTGCAAGCTAAGGCAGACAAAGATACACACACCTATTCATGTATACAGCAACACACACGCTCACACTTACAATCCACATGCCATCAAACTTCAAGCTCTTCTCTGGACTCTCTGTGTTGTTGTAGAGCTCTTGAATTTCCCTCTTCCACCACAGGACAGTTGAGTTACGGAAAAAGTCGGGGAAGGCCACGTACGCTCGGTATTGCTATAAGAACAGAATATAACCCATTTGTGCCAAAAGAATGGATCAGACAGCAAACAGATATTTACTTAGAACTTAACTCATGCAAAGACTTTACTACCTTTGGTAGATAGTGATAGGCTTAATCAGAGCCAGCCTAGTGTTCTTGAGTGCAGTGAAGAGGAATAAGCACAAATCATAGACCCTGGAGCTTGGAAAATGCCCACAGACTGTGTCGCTCTATATATCAATGAATGGCAACAACAAGCTGAACTCATAATCTGATGCTTCAGATGCTCAGCCTCTAGCTTCTGTCCTGATTTTTCCTAAGCTCTTCTCAAAGACAAGGCAGGAGGCAGAAAGATGAAAAGGAGAAAGAGTAGACATGAGATGCACTGTACCAGGTAAGAATGAAACAGCACTAGGAGTTAGAGGAAGGGATAGTTTCCTCTCATGATATTAAACCAATACACATCAATATTGCTACAGTTTCCAAATTACATAAAAAGTGCAGTTGTGTTTTTGTTCATTTTGCTCCTTTATCTAGAACCACATGTGACACAGTAAAGGATCAATATGTAAGCCAACAAAAATCATTATTACATTTTTAAAAATGTTCAGCTGTGTGTAATGTGAAGTGGGAGAGCTTCAGGGGAAATTTTCAACCCCCCACCCTTCATGTTGCCTCACATGATAAAGGCAAGTCTTTACTTTATCTGTAAATATGGATTTAAAGTAGCAGTCTTTTATAAAAGAAAAGTGGATTAAGAAATGAAGGGAGGAGGAAGAGAGGAAGCAAAGTGGGTTTAAAAAGAATAAAGATGTGTTATGCACAAACTCCCCATAATTAATATAATTATTATGTACCTCATACAGGTACTAATAAAAATAAAAAACTTAAAACAGGTATCACTCTGTAACTGTACTGTAAACTTTTTGAGAAAAAAGGATCTTGTCTTATATTCTTCTGATCCATTTTTTATTCCTTCAAGTGCTTAGCTAGAACTAGACATAATAATGAATAAAAATTGATAATAAATACTCTTTAATTGTGGTCTCACATATCCTCACAACAGCAAAACTCTGTAATGTCTATATACTTCATGTGCCCCATCATGGGTCAGCATGGCAATTGGCAGATCTCTATAAACAGTCTCCTCTGTGTTAATCACACTATTTTATAAGAATCAAATAACTAAATGATACTGGGGGCACAGGAAGAAAGATGATCAGAAAGGGAACATAATCCAAGGGAACTCCAATTCCTACTCACGGAAGACAAAATCAAGTAGAAACCACAAGTCCAGAGAAAACACAAAAAAAGAAAATACAAATGGATCTGTGTGCATAGATCTGTCTCACAGAGAGCTAGGTGCTACATTAGTAGAAATCATTGGAAGCATCTTGTTAAGAAATGCAACTACAAATTAGGACAGAATTTACCACTATGTAGAGCTCCATCTCAGCCAAGGTCAGAAACAATGGGATGGGTAGGGGATGGAGGAGTAGGATGAACGGCCACTATCAGTTGTCTGAGCCACAATTATGTCACTAAGAGGATACATGTGGAAATTAAGTCAACCATGGTTTATTAACCTAAGTCCCACTCTGATAATTCATATCCATGTAATAAAAAATGCCCTCCCATTCTCCAAAGTGTGAGCTCAGCCCTTCCTCCTTGCTTCTGACATCAATTACTTTGATATAGAACCAGGGATGTGCACACCTGCATGACTGGATCAAGGATTACTTATCCTAATCCACTGCATGCTACAAAAATGCAATTCCTGGTCCCCAAGCCAGGATTACTAAATTAAAACTCCAAACTTTGAGCTCAGAAATTTATTTTCTGTGGGTTTCTCGGCTTTTTGGTTGTTTTATCTAAGTGTCAGGAAGGCCAGACATGGACATCAGTAAACTTATCTACACCAGCTTCATTAAAATGGGTCTGATTAATACAAATAGTTATAAATATTCTACCTATCAATAATCTCTTAGGGTCACATTAATAAATTCTGTGATCCCTAATGGAGTGTTTCTCTCAAAAGCAAAATTTCCATTTTGAGCAACAGAATTCTTTGTGATGAATACTCTGCAATCAGAGCTATAGGCATCCCTGTTCACTACCCTCTAAATGTCACATGGTGTTTCTCAGTCACTGTGATAATCAATTATCATTCCACAGATTTCAAAATACTCTTAAAATAAGGGTCAGTATTCACTCAAATGGCTGATGGGTGGTAGATCAAATATACAATAGCCAGCCATATGATGAATCAAGCAGCCTCTCTATCAATGTAAAAATACAAGAGTAAGGAAGCTGTGTCCCTGAATGTCTCTGCTTGGCATGTTGTGCCCATGTGGCCTGCCTGAAGCAACAAAAGTTAAATGATCCTCTGGAAGAACTGATAGAAAGGACACATAGACAGATCGTCTCCCTCAAATTCTTATGAGAAGATAGATATACGACAGATTATATATATACAGAGAGAGCGAGAGAGATACTTCAAATGATCACAAAAAGAAAACAATATTGAACTCAGTCAGAAACACTTGCAAATTTTGGAAACGTGCTCCAATTTGCTTCAGTTTTTTTTTTTTTTTTTCTACTGGCTCTATTGACAAAAGGTAAAGATATGCCCAGTCCAAAAGACAGGCAGCCTGCTTCCCAGCATGGGTATCTCATTTTGGATCTAGAGCACTACTAATGCCAACTGGGATGAAAGCAGTCAGAGGCTAACACCAGGCAACAGTGCATCTCTGACTTACAGTGGTATCTTTTCTCACTACTCTGTGGGAGTTGTTCCACCTAAGCCCTTGGTCTCCAGACTATGCAGGTTCTGGCATATTGTGTTTCCATCTAAGACCCATCACTTGTCCTGAAAACTAAATTAAGATTGGAATTCTGTCACATATAGCTCCATCCACTATAGTGAGAACTCTCAAAAGGGATCTTGGCCTTGAGTTTTGAATAATACTAGAATATGATGCCACTGCTGTGCTGTATTCCTACAACTGGTATATATCTATTAATACTTTAACTGATAGAACTTCCCAGTACTAACAACTTATATCACCTTGCTGACCACATGAAAGCCAGATATTTGTCCCCTTAGCCATTGCAGGAATACTGGGAAGAAAGACCTCTTTATTGACCTAAAAGCACATCTATGGTAGTGCTATGGGCTCCACAAGCTCTTCTAGAAAGAGTAATCATTGTAGAAGAAGAGCTAAAGAGGCTAACAAAGCTGAATCAATTCACTGGGTACCTAACTTGGGAGAGAATAGGGTTGAAGCTTCCTAAGTAGCAACCATGACTTTATTGAGGTAACAAATGACTGATGGTACTAGAAAAATTTATGTTCAAAAGCATGGGCTAGGGGGCCGGGGAAATGGCTCAGTAGGATAAGCACTTGACTGGCAAATGCAAAGATCTGAGTTC